CCCGCGGAGCGGCTGGTAGTTTCGAACTGCTGACCTTAAGGTTCACAGCCCGATTCGTAACCACTACGCTACCAGAGCTCCTAAGTAGCAACTAGGGTCCTAAAAACTTTTTTTTTTTTTAATATTTTATTGTGAATTATGTGATAGTTTACATGGGAGAACATTAGCTTTACATTCATCCTATAGTATATAATATCATTGCCATGGTTACAATCCCCTCCATGCATCATCAACCAACCAAAAGGGTATACCCTGCAAGCCTTCCCCTGGTTGTCAGCACACAGGGCCTCTCTTTCTCTGGGTCTACAGTCCCCAGCCATTCCCACTCTCCACGTCACCATCTCTGCCTCCATCTCTGGCGTCACTTTCTCTGGGTAGGTTCCCACACTCTGCTCTTCTCTCCCTTGATAGTCCCAGGGACCTCTGCTCCTGGACTGCAAAGTCAAACAATCCCCTCCTTTTGCTACAAAATGTCTACCTTTACATTTCCAACCCTCACAATCAGTCCTGATAGCAATTATTCACTATTGTGCCTCATGAGTGCTATTCCCATCTCCTTTCATCAGCCCTGCTCAGACAGATACCACTCCATGGAAATTCTACCTTCCTCTGCACTCTCTGGATCTAGGCTCCCTCTTGAAAGCTTGTATGCCAGTCACTTCTTGCCTTTGTAGCCTCCATTTTGGGTAGCCAATGTCCAAGTTGCCCATCCCTGTCTATACTGTGTACCGAGGGGGTGGGAATGATCCTCACTGTAAAGATTTGTTCCCTCTTTTAAGCTACTGCATCGATAGGTGTAGATCGAGTTCATCAAATTGTATCAGATTACTCTTTTTTACCTCTTCTTTCTTCTTCTAGTTGAGTTCTGATCATCCATCCATTGAAGCTAGGTCGAGTGGGTATTATCTGCCAGTGTGGATGTTCTTGTGCATATCCCCTTGCTTCTTATCAGGTGGATACTTCACTCTCCACTCTAGTCCTCTGTGGCTAGGAGTCCCCAGGTCTTGCCATACTGCTGGCCAACCAGGTCTCCACCTGGGTTCACAGGAGTTTATTGAATGTGGTAGGGTTTAGCTCACATCTTCTTTGCTGTTTTTCCCTCACTTCCCCTTATTGGTGACCAATGTGGTCACCAGTCAGAGTGCATGTCTGCTCACGTATTCCCATTGAGTCTTGGAAGGGTGTTTGCCCTGAGGAGACCTGACCACTTGCTTTGATGTCCTAAAAACTTTTGAGGGGCCAACTAAGGTGCAACTTTTGATTTCTCCCTGTCCTGAGAAAAGAAGAATGATGAAAATTGAAGTCGCATGGAAACAATTAGTCCAATGGACTAATAACGGGTCACAGAAACACTAGTTTCCAACGACCCTGAAACCAGAAGAACTAGATGGTGCCCAGCTACTGCTACCAACTGCTATGAAAGAATTCACATCAGGTGGTTCTGGATAGACTGGGAGAAAATGTGAAACAAAGTCAAAGTCATAAAGAAGACCAGGGTTACTGGTCAGATAGAGACTGGTGGAACCCCAAGACTATGACCATTGATCACCCTTCAGGTCTGGAATTGAGTGCATACCTTGGCTCAGTTTCAGCCAAGTAAGAGATAGGTCTATGGGAGAAACAACAGCTCTAGTGAGGTATGCACACTATAGAAGGGGTCAACCATTAGATATCAAAGGAGCCGCATTTACCCAATGACCAACTTCAGAAGGATTGGGAAAGAAGGAGGAGTGGAGATAGGAACCACAGGGAGGAAATGGGATAAGCGATGTTGCATCGAGAGGATTGCAATCATTGAGATGAAACAAAATGTGTAGATTTGTTGAATGTAAAACTGATGATCTCTATAACTTTCACCCAATTTATAATAAAAAGATAAACAAAACAACATTTTTTTTTTTTCATAAAGAGTCACTGATGTAATTGGAGCAGATCAGTGCAGTCCCTTCTCCCAGATCCCAGGGTCCAGTGGCTGCCCCAGTCATTCTTCTCACAAGGAGGGCCTCCTAACTGCAGAAGTTGTCTGTTTTATTTGCATTCAAGCTCTTTCCTGAACCCCATGCAGAATCTTCTGAGGTGGGAAATCTCCACTTGAAAGGACAAACAGACCAGTCTGGAGTGGCTAGAAGAACAGAAGATACTTCTTGAAAGAAAGACTGACAGGAAAATCAAGCTCCTTTTGCATTTACATATGTTCATGTTTGAATAATAAAATCTCTCAAATTACTTCATAAGTAGGCACACCCTTGCCTCTCAAATTGTTTTTCATTAAGACTGATGCTTCAAGAAGAGGAGCTTCATCTTTCTTTGATTTCTTTTACCTGCTGGTTTATTACAAACAATGCCCCAGCTTGAGAAACAGCATTTTATTTAATACTTTTAAGAATATTCTCAACTTTTCAGAGGATTCAGTGTCCTCTTTTTGTAGCAAATAGTTGGTAATGCCTCTTTTACATTCTGAAATTAAATTCGTTTATAATATAACTGACCCAGTCCATAGAATTCTTAGGAAAACAATGCCTTAGCTGTAAATCAAAGGAGAAATTTATAGGAACATGACTGATGATGAGATCTTTCACTATGTAAACCGTTGGGCTCAACTACACTGGAAAACATAATGAAGAAGTGAGTGACCTGCATCTATTTGTAGACCCATCTGCATGCAGTGGATACAGTAGATCACCCTGGTAACTCAGATGCTCAAGTGGAATTGGTGACTTTGTGGTGATTTTCTAAAGTGTTGAGTAAACAACTTTTGGGAAAGTCCTAAGTAAATCAAAGTACAAGCTCCCGTCAAAAGTTGCATTTACTATAAGTTAAAAAAAATTTTTTTAATTGACTTATATTTAAAACATATTCTTGTTAGATGCCATCGGGTCAGTTTTGAATCATAATAACCCTAGGTACAACAAAACGAAACACTGCCCAATTGTGCACCAGCCTCACAATCGTTGCTATGCTTGAGCCCACTGTTGCAGCCACAGTGAGTGTCCATCTCATTGAGGATCTTCCTCTTTTTTGCTCACCTTCTACAAAACATAATCTGGACTTTAATTGCAAACAGGTTTTTCATACCAAGGAGATATTGGAAAGTCACATGGGACAGTAACATTGTAGGTCATAGCATCCCTGCCCCAGCCTGTTCCCTAATCATTATGACAACTAGAAATGCCTCCACAAGTTTCTACAACACGCCCGAGGGCCTATCACTACTCCATTGGGAACCTGTGCTATAGAGCTTTCTAGTCAAATTACCTCTGGGGTGTTCTGAGAGAACCCTACTGGATGTCCATGCAAGAAACACAGGAGGCTTTATGGGACAAGGGCACAGCATTGTTCCTGATGGAGGTCACACACCCTCCCTCACCTTTTCTCTCTGACATCCACAGCACTGCATGGGATCTCCTCCAAAAATGGTGGTTCAGTTGCCTCTTCTGCTTCTCTCCTAGGGCTTGGATTTCGAGGCCAAAAGCCAGCACACGCTGTACGTTGAAGTGACCAATGAGAGTCCCTTTGTGGTGAAACTCTCAACTTCCACAGCCACCGTAGTAGTCCATGTGGAAGATGTGAATGAGCCACCCATGTTTGTCCCACCCTCCAAAGCTGTTGAGGTCCAGGAGGGCATCCTCACTGGGGAGCCTGTCTGTACCTACACTGCCCAGGACCCTGACAAGGAGAATCAGAAGATCAGGTACTTGGAGCTGTGCAGTTGGGTGGGCTGTTTATTATGGCAGCATTTGTTAGATTACCATCAAGATTGGTCAGTATTTTGAACACCACCCTACACAGAAGCTTTCCTTCCTACTCTCCTAGAGACTGAGCAGGGGTCAAGTATATTTCCCTTCCCTCCCGTCCCTCCCTTTTCACCCTGCTGATTTAGGCTCTCATTCATTGGCAAGGTGCATTTTCCATTGGATCCTGCTTAGGTGCCCAGAGTCCCTGATTCCATTTGCCAGTTGATAGGAGGAGGCTGAGAATGATGACACCAAAATTATGATCAATTTTGGATGTGACTCTTCCCACCTTTTCCTCTCCAGCTACCATATCTTGAGAGACCCCGCAGAGTGGCTGGCAATGGACTCAAACAGTGGGCAGATCACTGCTGTGGGTGTCTTGGATCGTGAGGATGAGCGCTTTGTGAAAAACAACATCTACGAAGTCATGGTCTTGGCCACAGATGATGGTGAGAGCTTCCTCTCAGCCCTTCCACGAGGGGCATCTTTGGTTCCCAAATGGCATTAGACAGAGTATGGTGTGGGGAAGGGATATCAACAAACCACTCTGGAGAGGAAAAGGGGCCTTTAAGAGGAGTGCTTTGAAGACTGGTCCTGATTTGGAATCATTAAGACCCTGACAGTTCTGAGGTATCTTTACCCTGAGGGCTCCTTTCAGCTTAAGTTTGTGTTCACTGAGCCCTAAACGGGTCTGCCCATTCCCCTTGTGATTGATTAGTTGAGGGTTGCTTGGATCAATATCTTGAGCAAGATTTTAAGGATGCATCTGGATCACTAGAAAGTGCCATGACTAATTAGAGATGTCACGTTATGATGGAGATGCCTGCTCTGACTGGAAACATAGCCAGGGCCTGGAGACAGTTGAGAAATGACAGCAGGCCTTGAGGAGAAGCTTCCCTAAAACTGACTGTCAACCACTAGAGTAGACTCAAGATGGCTGGTAGATTTTTCCCTTGTGATGGACCGGTAGTGGTTGTCTGGATGAAGTAGCTGTGGACTGCTGGGAAACTTAACACTGACTCATCAACCCATCCAAGGGCAAATCCTGAGAAATGATTATATGTGTAATTATGAACAGGGAGTCCTCCTACCACCGGCACAGGAACGCTCCTGCTAACACTTATCGATGTCAATGACCATGGCCCAGTCCCTGAGCCCCGTCAGATCATCATCTGCAACCAGGACCCTGTGCCTCAAGTGCTGAACATCACAGACAAGGATCTGTTCCCCCATACCTCCCCGTTCCAGGCCCAGCTCACCCATGACTCGGATGTGCACTGGATGGCAGAGGTCAATGAGAAAGGTAATTGAGCAATGGTGGTAGGTGGGTGCCAGCTATGTCTCATACCAGGACCCTATGCATATTCCTGCCCCTGCATCTGTGGGTCACACGGGTAACCATCTCCTCAAGAACTGCAGTCAATGCTAATCTAGTATGAGACTTTGGAATTCCACAGAGGTCCTTAGAGACCATTCTAGCTCACCTGAGGCCCAGAGAGAGAGGGAGAGTAACATATCCAATGTCACAGCATCAGGATTCCAACATTAGGAACCGCTAAGGGGGCAGCGATGGCTCAATGGTAGAATTCTCACCTTCCATGTGGGAGGCCAGGCTCAGTTCCCAGTCACCACCCATCTGTTGGTTGGAGTGTGGCATGTTGCTATAATAATGCACCAGGAAAAAAGTCTGGCGATCTAATTCTGAAAATCAACCACTGACTACCCTCTGGATTGCAATGGCCCAATCCACACCCAATCATGAGGATGGTGCAAGGCACCATGTGTTGGGAGCCAATTTAACTGCAGCTAATAATAGGAAGGGACACACACGGACCATGCTTACTCAGATGCTGCACAGAGATTAGATTATTTAATCCTCAAAACAACCCTGTGTATAAGGAACTGTTGTCAGATGCTGTTGTTGTTAAGGCCATCGAATCAGTTCCGACTCACACCCGTTTTACAGAAGAGGAAACTGAGGCTTACGGAAGCTTAAATATCTTGTCAGAGTTGTCATTAAGAGAGAATGATGGCATCAGATTTGAACCCAGTTGATCTAATTTACCAGGATGCTCTGCTGCTGCAAAAGAATATGGAGCCAACCATTCCTCCCACAGCCCTCTCTACTCAACTGGGTTCAATCATTTTGTTATAATAGCAACACAGAACCCAAACACCATACTTAGAGTGTGGAGTTTATTAGGGAAGTTCACAGATTACAATACAGAATCAGAAAATGCTCAGAGCACAATTGTTTCAATCAGTGGCTGATAAATGCCCATAGGACACACCACTCCACCCTAAGCCTCAGCCTGAAGGCACTCAGCTCTGGCTCCATGGGTCAGCAAACCTAGCTCTCCCACTTAAGTGCTTGGAGCTTTCCTTTCCTTTCCAGCTTTCTTTGCTCTGTGGGCAGGGAGCCCACTGCTCTGTCTCCTGCTCTAGTTCTTGGTTTTGCTGCTGCTGCTGCTCCTTTACCACTCCTCCTATATCACAGTTTTCTGTCCCTGGATCCAGGCGGGTCAATGCACAGGGATCTCAGGGTCCAAAGGATGTGCTATACTCCTGGTTCTTCTTTGATGGTTGTGAGATAACCCCCTACCTGCTTCTGAGATGGTTCGTTTTATACCCATGCTAGAGGTTCAAGTTTTTACAATTACAATGAACTCTGCTAACACCCACAGCTGAATCGTGTCATCCTAGCCATATCTTCTCCCACCTTCTCACACTGAGACCTAGCAGGACAGAAATGATGGGAGTTATAAACTATGACTGAAAGAAACATGAAATAATTCATGACAGCCTGGCTGCCTGCCATTTATTGAACCCTGGTGATATGCAAGATACTATTTTTCCTTAGTTAAGATTTCTCCCACCTTCTGTGGTCAGTATTTTTGTTCTGTGTATGCATGAGCCTCACTGAAGTTAAATTATGTACACACAGGCGCAGAGTTGTTAGGTCACAGAGCAAAAATTGAAGGCAGGCTTTGACTCCAGAGCCCCTGTTCCCCCCCCACACACACACACCTCTTCTCTAACCCACCTCCCTGTCCTGCCTCCTGATCACCAACTCTGAGGTTCTGAGCTTTTCATGGGTTTACAGTTGTCACAAGGACTGGAAAAGGGATGCATAGTGTATAAGAAAGGTAGGTGCAGCCCAAGGCTCCTGAAGAAATTGCATCACTGTAGTTTAAAGTGCTGCCCCTTCTTGGGGTTTGGGCTCCCTAGGAGGGAAATGGGGAGTATGTACATTCAGGCTCTGCCTCCTCCATCCAAATACCCAATTTCCAAAGCCCAACCCAGAAAGGACTCGGGAGACCTGTGCAAACTCGAGAGACCTCCCATATTGTCTCATTATCAAGATGTCTGTGATTTGGGTATATATACCACGTCTAGCTTCTCTCCTTTGGGGACCTCAAGTTGGTCTCCTGTCCCTCCCTTGTAATCTAGAAGTCATTTTTTTTTTCTTCACTGAACATTTGTTAAGTGCCATCGAGTTGGTTCTGACTCATAGTGATTCTAGCTTTGGTCTTGGAGTCGTGGTGACTGATGTTCACCTGCTCCATTGGTCCATTGGAGAAATATGATTCCAAACATCTTTAATTGTCATCAACCCTTCTTTCTTCTGCACTTGGAGAGAACAATAGTTGTACCATAGCTGGCCACCCATGAGCGTCCAAGATCCCAGACATTACTCACCAAAGCAGGATGTGGAAATTTGTCTTTGTGGACACCATTTGACCATGATGTCCCCTGAAACTATGGTTCTGAGCCCCCAGATCCAGCAATTCATTGCCTTAAAGTTTTCCTCATTTTGCTTGCTGTATGTTCCACCACATTCACAGATGTGTTTGTAGCAAAAAAGGATACAAATATCCTTTTTCAAAACCTTATATATTTGGGGGGATATATATCTACTTTTCCTCCCATAATCATTCAGCCTGTGTATCTGTCCATGCATCTATCCACAGAGCACTGTTGTTCCAGGGTTGTATATTTAACACTGTTTACCTCTGTCCCCTTTATCCCTTGCATACATACGTCCCTGTGTCTTCACCTGTCTTCATCATTCTTCTGCCAACCTCCCTCTTCTTATATATTGCCCTCCCTATTACCCAAGTTAACATCTACCCTCTAGCTACTCTCCCTTCCTCCCCACCCCTGTTAACCATCAAAGAATGTTTCTTTTAGCATGAAAGTCTTTTTTGAGGTTTTACAATAGTGATCTCATGCAATATTTGTCCTTTTGTGATTGCCTAATTTTACTCAGCATAATATCCTGCAAGTTCAGCCGTGTTATGAGGTGTTTTACAGATTCCTCATTATTCTTCAACGTTGCATAGTATTCCATACCAGAGTTTGTTTATCCATTCTTCCATTGATGAACATTTAGGCTGTCTCCATCATTTTGTTATTGTAAATAGTGCTGCGATGAACATTGGTGTGCATATATCTACTTGTATCATGGTTCTTATTTCTTGTGGATATACACCAAGAGAGAGATTGCTGAATCATACAGTATTTCTATTTCCAACTTTTTGAGAAAGCCCCTTTCCATTTTTCATGGTGGCCACACCATCTTACAGTTACGCCAGCATTGTAGGAGGATCCCAGTCTTTCCACACCCTCGCCACCATTTGTTATTTTCTGTTTTTGTTTTTTTTTTTTTAAAGTTCCTATTGATGCTGGGACGAGATATCTTATTGTTGTTTTGATTTGCATTTCTCTACTGGCTAGTGATCATGAACATTTCTTCATATGCTTGTTGGCTACCTGAATATCTTGTTTGGAGATTTGTGTTCATGTCTTCTGCCCATTTTTAAATTGGATTGTTTGTCTTTTTCTTGTAGTAAAAATATTATAGTTTTCTATAAAGTTTGGATATTAGTTCCTTATCTAATATGTTACTGCAAAAAATGTTTCCCAATTTGTGGGCCCTCTTCTGGCAAAATCTTTTAATGCATGTAAGTGTGTGATTTTAGGCACAGTCGTCTATTTTGTCTTCTTCTGTTTATATGGTTTTAGTTATGTTTGACAGTGTATTTATGCCATGTATTAAAACCCTTCAGTTTCTCTCTATTTTTTCATTAATGATTTTTACAGTTCTAGTTTTTACGTGTAGGTCTTTAATCCACATTGTTTGTTTTTGTATAATAGGTGTGAGATGTAGATCTTGTTTCATTGCAAATGGATTTTCCGTTTTGCCAGCGCCATTTGTTGAAAAGACTTTCTCTTCCCCATTTAATGTGTTTTGGTCCTTTGTCAAAGATTAGCTGACTACATGTGAATCCGTTTACTTCTGGGTTTTCAGTAACGTTCCAGTGATCTACGTATCTTTCATTGTCGCAGTACCAGGCTGTTTTGACCACTGTGACTGTGTAGTAGATTTTGAGATCAGGGAGTGGGAAGCTTCCAACTTTCTTCTTCTCGTAAGTAATGCTTTGCTTATCTGAGGTCACTTTCCTGACCATATAAAGTTAGTGCTCAGTTTTTCCATTTCTTTTAAAAATGACATTGGAATCTGAATTGGGATTGCATTATGTCTATAGATTGCTTTGGGTAGTGTTGACATCATTACAATGTTGAGCATGGTATAGTCTTCCGTTTTTATCATTCTCTTTTGGTTTCTTGTAGTAGTGTCTTGTAGTTTTCTTTGTATAGGTCATTTGGTTCTCTGATTACAGAATTAGTCCTAAGTATTTCATCTTTTGGGTGACACTAGTAATTACCTCTTCAAGCTGTGGTGAGGATTAGGGTACGGCCTGGTACATAGTCAGTGTCGGTTTGACCTCCATCATCATTATCATCACCAACTGAGAAGTCAGCTCAACAGCATGAGAGTGGGATGGTGATAGGAGTATTTGGTGACATACCCAACACTGGCCTCTCTGCATGGTAGACCAGATAACCACTCTGCAGAACTAGCTCTATTTATTGGTGAATGGAAATGAATAAGGAACATTCCCCCTTTGGACCTTTTAATAAAAAGGAGCCAGTGAGTGTGCAGAGCCCTTTCCCTGAAAATGCCTTGAGGTTACTGCTGGGATCTGCAGGCAAGCTGGGAAGTGGGTGGGTTTGTTTATAATTGGGGAACACTACTGGCATATGGAGTCCTGGTGTGGCACTGTGGGTTAATGCATCAGACTGCAAAGTACTTTGAACTGCAAGATCGGTGGTTCAAGCTCACCACTGACCTTGGACACCCTCTACGGGGTTGCTATGGGTCGGAATCTACTCAGCAGCACTTAACAACAACAACAACAACTGGCATTTACATGGTAGGGACCAGCAGTGCTTGAGAAAGTTCTTTAACAGTCTTGTCCAAGCCTTTAGCATCCCCTTGAGAAACCTAGATCTAAATTGAAGGGTAACATCTGTAGACCTTTCTTCAAAGAGACCCCTGATCCATAAAAATGTCCTACCCCCTTCCTAGGACTGTCACCCAGTCTTAGGCTTTGTAGTACACTTTAAAACAGTGAAACAGAAGTGGCCAGTTAGTAGGAATATTACGAGATTGACTAGCTAGATCTCTTAGGAAAAATAATGGGTTGTTTTTTGAGACACCAAACCATCTAGCACCTGATGGTGATGAGAAATTATTGGTCCTGTATAACATCACTTTTAAAATTGTATATTTAAAAAATATTGTAATTTATTTTCAAATAAATGGATAAATCTGTCCTTCTTTCCCAATAAATAATCCTTTCCATTGTGATGGATTTGGGTTTAACCAAACGTCAATATTTAGCACTTGGCTGCTTTGGGATATTCTCCCATTGCCCAGATGCAGGACTGTCTCCTCACACCTTCACCAAGTTAGACTCCATCCCCTCCACATGTGGTATTCCAAGGCCAACAAATCGCTTGTTCACCCTAGGAGACACAGTGGCCTTGTCCCTGAAGAAGTTCCTAAAGCAAGACACATATGATGTTCACCTTTCTCTCTCCGACCACGGCAACAAGGAACAGCTGACGATCATCAAGGCCACCGTGTGTGACTGCAGCGGTCACGTGGGGACCTGCCCTGAGCCCTGGAAGGGGGGGTTCGTGCTCCCCATCCTGGGGGCTGTCCTGGCGCTGCTGCGTGAGTATCAGGATGGGGCAGTTTAAAAAGCTGATTCTATCCTGAACTTCAGGGGCTAAGGGGCTACCGACGCATTGCTTATCCATTTCTTGAATTCTTAATTCTAGGAATGACCATCAGTCAGTAGATATTTATGGAATGTATGAGGCTTTGGGGATACAGTAGTGAACAAATAGACTTGACCCTGCTGTCATGGAGTCTAGAGGCAAGTTCTCCAATGTGACCTCGAGGCCAGCAGTATTTGCATTACCCAGAATTCATTAAAAGGCAAATTACCAAGCCCTTACTCCAGGTTTATTGACTCAGAAACTTGGAGGTGGGAGTCTAGCAAACTGTGTTTTCTTTAACAAGCCCTCCAGGGGACTCTGATGCAGCTAGAGTCTGAGAACCACAGTCTAGTAGACAGAGAAGAGGTGTTTAATGAAAACTAAGTCTTTGCTCTAATGGTAGAACCTTTAGAGTTGTTTTTCTACTCTCTTAGTCCTTGCCCAGAAGACACACTATCAGATGTGAATACAATAACAAACTGTAATCCATTCAGCATACTTCTTGAGTCTGGGTAGTGCAAACTGTTCAGTACTCAGCTACTAAGCAAAAGGTTGGTAGTTTGAATCCACCTAAAGGTGTCTTTAAAAAAAGGTACTAGCCATGTAAACCTTGAGTTCGGGTGAGCAGTCCAACCATTGAAAACCCTATGGTGTACAGTTCAGTTCCATGGGATCACCGTGAGTCAGAATCGAGTTAATATCAACTGGTTTAGTTTCTTTTTATTTTCTACACTGTTTTGAGCACTAGAGATACAGCATGTAAGCAAACAGGAATGTCAAGATGTGTGTGAGAGCTGCCATTCCAAGCAAGGTTTTTCCTTGCTGTGAAGGGGATATTCAAGTAAAGACCTGAAAGGTTGAGAAGCAAATCATGCCTATATCTCGGGGAAGTGCAAAAATCCAGAGACAGGACTGTGCCTGACACGTGACAATAGCAAGGAGGCCTGGCTGGCCAGACAGGAGTGAGAGGGAAAGCACAGAGCAGGGCCGAGAGATGATAGGGGCAGCGACTCAACATGCTGGGCCTTGGAGGCTGTTTTCAGGACTTGGGCTGTTATTCTGTTTGCAATGAAAAGATACCAAGGTTTTGAGCAGAGGAATGATGTGATTTGACTTGAATTGTAGAGGATTTCTACTGAACAGACTTTAGAGCAGCCACAGGAAAGTCAAGAAAGACAGTTTAGGAGGCTGTGGTCATAATCCAGGAATGAGATGGTGGTGGTGGTGGTCAGAGGTAGATGTATTTCAAGGTATTTTGCAAATACCTAGATTGAGCACTCTAAGGCTTTCGGTCTGAGCAGCTAAAAACGTGAAGTTTTCATTTCCTGACTGGGGAAGGATGGTAGAAAGAGCCACTTTGCCAGACCAGTCCAAGTGGGGATATCTGTAGGCATTCGACATATAAGCCTTGGGTTCTTCTGAGGAGGAAAAGGGGAAGGGACAGGTTACAGTCTAGCCATTCATGGGATGTACATCCTGACTGCAGACCCCCAAAGAAAGCTAGGGTTGTTTGGTGTGGTAAGAGTCAGCAGTTCCAAAAGCAGCCACAACCTAAGCAGTAGCTGTGACCTCAGAAAGGGCCAGAGGTTAACGGAATATGGTCATGCAGTGTGGCATTTGTTGACCATCCACCCCACTCCCACCCACCATGTATAAATAACCTGGTAACCATATCACTAGAAGCCTAGCATAGCATTTGCACTAACAAAAGGGCTTCAAAAAGTTCATGGGAAAAAATTCAATTAAAAGATAATGGAATTTTTCCACAAAATTTCTGAAGCTTCCTCATATGTTCCAATTATTGTACCATTTCAAAGCTGCATTATCTAGCTCTAACTTAAAGTCTTGGCTAATGTAGGGAGAACCAGTCCCTACTGGTTTTTAAAGTGGTGTTTAGAAGAGTCTCACTAAATGGTAATGTCTGATGGGAGAGCTCCATCCCCCCCAGAGGAGGATTTTTGTAAGGTCAATACTACCAAAATGGAGAAGACTGGCAGCAAATGATAGAGAATTATAGGTGGGGGGAATGAAGCTGGAACACTTCTGGGAGGAAATAATGTTAAGCTGAGCTTTAAAGAATGAGAATGAGTTATGTATATACATGAAGAGTGTTCCAGGTAAGGAGACAGCTGGTTCTCAAGTGGGACACTGCATGGTATATACTTAAGGAATACAGAGGAGACTAATGTGCCTAGACTTTTGAAAGTGGGTGAGTTGGAGAGTTGGAGGTAGAGGCAGGGGCCAACCCATGTAGGCCTTGATGAAGAGTTTGGACTTTTTCAGATGTGAAGGGAGCTATTGAAGTGTGTTATGCAGGAGAGATAACATGATTGGGGTTGTTGCTCTGGCTACTGTGTAGGGAGGTTAAAAATTAGATGAAACCCTGAGGGTTTAGGGGTCTTGGTTGTGTGGAGTGAGTAATTCACTCTCAAACTCTTTCAGTCCTCCTGTTGGTGCTCCTTTTGTTGGTGAGAAAGAGGCGGAAGGGCAAGGAGCCCCTTCTACTTCCAGAAGATGACACCCGGGACAACGTCTTCTACTATGGTGAAGAAGGTGGTGGTGAAGAAGACCAGGTGAGACATTGAGAGGTCTGCTAGTTGTGGCTGGATGCCCTCAGGGCCACCAGCATGTCAGCTACAGTGACCAGACCCTGATGTGAAGCATCGTTCTTCATGCAGGATTAGCCACAACTCTTGCATTTCTGAAAGGGTATCCGATCCATTACTGTAGCTTCTTTGGCTCCAGCCAAGCTGACCTTGAGCCTGTGCTTAATTTGTGAATGTAGAGAAGGGTGGAAAAAAGGGCTTTCAGAAATCTCTGACATTTATCTGTCTTCTGAGACCTACCAATGTGCACAAGCATCCAAGTGATAGGAAGATGGGGTGAGATGTAAATGATAAGGAAGTGGGGAGAGACCTTCTCAATCCAGTGCTCCATAATTTTCATAAAGGACTATGACATCACTCAACTTCACCGGGGTCTGGAGGCCCAGCCTAAGGTGGTTCTTCGCAACGATGTGGCACCAACCTTCATCCCCACCCCCATGTACCGTCTTCGTCCAGCCAACCCAGATGAAATTGGCAACTTCATCATCGAGGTGAGTCATGGGGGAGCATTCTAGGGTAGTTCATGCCTTACTTTAAGTCTACCACCGCAACACAAGAGAAGGAGCATGAGTGAGCTTGGAGGCTTGGCTCTGGGTCCAAATTCTGGTTCCACCACTGTCTTAGTTTCTTGTTGTTAGCTACCATTGAGTCGGTTCCAAGTCACATCTACCCTACGCACAACAGAACTAAACACTGGCCAGTCCTCACCATCTGCACAATGGTTGTCATACCTGAGCCCTTTGCTGCCGCCATCTCATTGGGGGCCATCCTCTGTTTCGCCAACACTCCACTTTAGTAAGCATCATGTCCTTTTCCAGGGACTGACTGGTCCCTCCTGATAGCATGTCCAAAGTATGAGAGATGAAGTCTCACCATCCTAGCTTCCAGTGAGCATTATGGTTGTACTTCTTCTAAGACAGATTTGTTTGTTCTTTTGGTAGTTCATAGTACTTTCAATATTTTTCTCCAAGACCATAACTCAAATGCATCAATTCTTCTATGGTCTTCCTTATTTATTCCAACTTTCATTTGCTTATGAGGCTATTGAAAATACCATACCTTAGTCCTCAAACTGATATCTTTGCTCTTGAACACTTTAAAGAGGTCTTGTGCAGCAGATTTGCCTAATTCAATACATCATTTGATTTCTTGACTACTCCTTCCATGACTTGATTGTAGATCCAAACAAAATTAAATCTTTAACATTTCGATCTTTTCTCCAATTATCATGATGTTATTGATTGCTCCAGTCATGAGGATGTGCGTTTTCTGTATATTGAGGTACAATTCATATTGAAGATCTTTGATCTTCATCAGTAAGTGTTTTAAGTTCTCTTTGCTTCTAGCAAGCAAGGTTGTATCATCTGCATGACACGACAAAGGTTGTAAATGAGTCTTCCTCCAATCCTGATGCCACATTCTTTTTCATATAATCCAACTTCTCAGATTGTTTGTTCAGCATACAGATTTAATAAACTCTGTTGCACACCTTTCCTGATATTAAACTACTCAGTGTCCACTTGTTCTGTTCTAATGACACCACGTATTATGACATAAACAAGTTCACATAAATAGTTAAACATTTTTAACTAGAATGCAGATTCCTTGATTTTCCTGTTTCAATGCCTTTTCCAATGTAGCATTCAACTATTAAGAATTCCTAAATAAGGAATCTGGTAGCATAGTGGTTACGAATCAGGCTGCTAATCTCACGGTCAGCAGTTCGAAACTACCAGCTGTTCCGTGGGAGAAAGATGAGGCTTTCTGCTCCTGTAAAGATTTACAGCCTTGGAAACCCTGTACAGAGTCACTAGGAGTGGGAACTGACTCCACAGCACATAACAACGGAGCTCTGGTAGCGTTTTGGTTACAAATCAGGCTACTAATCTCAAGGTCAGCAGTTCGAAACTACCAGCAGTTCCATGGGAGACAGATGAGGCTTTCTGTTCCTGTAAAGAGTTACAGCCTCGGAAACCCTGTGCAGGGTCACTATGGGTCAGAACCAACTCGACAGCACTTAACAACAACAGGTTCTTCATGAGTATATTAAGTGTTCTGGAATACCCAATCTTCCCAGTGGTATTAGTGGTTTGTCATGATCCACACATTCAAAAGCCTTTGCATAATCAACAAAGTAAACATCTTTCTGGTATTTTCTGCTTTCTGTCAAGAACCATCTGACATCAGTAGTGATATTGCTTGTTCCACAGCCTCATCTGAATCCAGCTTGAATTTATGGCACTTCCCAGTTGATGCACTGTTGCAGGTGTTTTTTAATTATCTTCAGCAATGTTGTACTTCCATGTCATATGAATGATATTGTTCAATGTTAATTTCTTAGTGCTGCTCTAACAGCTATCACAGTAGGTGGCTGTAACAAGGTCAGGGCACCTGGTCTAGGAGAAGGCTTTCTTTATCTTCTCTGGTGGAAAAATCCTTGCCACTGCTTCTTCAGCAATTTTCTTGGTGTTCCTTGGCGATCGCCACATAGCATCTGTCTTTCCTCCATTTGTGCTTGATTTCAGTGGGTTCCTACCAGTTCGATGAAGTGCCTAATCTGGTCTTTTAGATCTCAAAAACTATTAGTTCAAGACACACTTGATGTTGATATTACTCTATTATTTGCAAATAAAGAAGCCCCTATTCCTAAACAGGGTTATACCCACAGGGATCCACAGCACTTAACAACAACAACATAAGCCAAAAATCCAAACTCACTGCTATCCAGTTGATTCTGACTCGTTTGTTATGCCGTCAAGTTGGTTCCGACTCATAGCGACCCTCCATAGAGTTTCCGAGGAGCAGCTGGTGAGCCTGAACTGCCGACCTTGCAGCTCAAGCGACATTGCAGTCCAGTGCATTAGCCCACAGCACCACACCAGGATTTGATTCTGACTCATAGCCACCCTGTATTGGATTTATGAGACTAAATCATTCTTCCCCCTCAGAGCAGCTGCTGGGCTTGAACTGCTGACCTGGCAGTTAGCAGCCCAATACCTAACCCACAGCACCAATAGAGCTCTTATCAACAGGTATAGGGGTTCAGATTTACAACACATGTTTTAGACACACATTTCAGCCCCCAACAACACCAACAAGTTGTGTGACTTCTGGCAGCCCCTGTGAACTCCGGACTTCTGTTGCTTCCTCTGTAAAAGCTTAATTTGGAGATTGATTAAGGATAGATTAGGTGTGATTCATGAACTTTCTTAACTAATGCAGCAGTTGTTAGGAGCACAGACTGGGTTTGAGTTTTTTTTAAGATCCCAGGTGATTCCAATGTGCAGCAATGTCTGGGAACCTCTGTTATAGATCGTTTCAAGGATTGAAGGATTAAGTACCTACAATAATACTAGGCCAGTGGCTCCCAAACTTGCTTGTATGTTTGGAATCACTTGGGAAACCTTTGAGAATATGATGTCTCTGACCTCTGTTGTTTGTTGTTGTTAGGGGCCATCAAGTCGGTACCGACTCATAGCGACCCTATGCACTGTAATTTCATTGATTTGGAATGTGGCCTAAACTTCAGGGTTTTGTTTTGTGTTTTGTTTTTAAAACTCTCCAGGTTATTCAAGTTTGGGAATCATGGCCTAGCAGAAAGCTTTTATTAGGGAACGATTACTGTTATGAAACAGTATCTGAGCATGGTTATGTATCTGACTTATCTGAGGAACTTTGAAAACTATTAATGCCTGCAATCCAGGCTTTTTTTTTTTTAAACTTCCCAAGAGATTCAACTATGCAGCCAGGATCATGAGACCTTGACCTAGACACACAGATCTATGTGTGAGCCAGACACATCATGGTTCCATGGTAGCAGGCAGTCAACGGAGGCTCTTCATAACAGAAAAAAGGAAGACAGTGGTTGACATTTAAAACTGGAACACAATGGGCAGTCAGGATCCCTCACCCCAACTCAAACCCCTGGGCCTCAGTTTTCTCTTCAGTGACTGTTTTCTCTTCTAGAAAGAGCCTGGTGGTTGAGACTTTTCTTTAAGCCTGGGTGTGTTAGAGAGAATTCAGTGCAAAACAAGTGCTTTCTCCCAAACGGGAAAGCTGCTCAGGGTTTTTAGATTGCGGAAGACTCCTTCACCTTGGAGTTAAATAACTGAAGTTTTTCCTTCCAGTGGGAGCCCTGATGGTTCAGTGGTTAAGTGCCACTCTGCCAACTGAAGGGTTGGCATTTTGAACCCACCAGCCACTCCATGAAAGAAAGATGAGGCGGACGGTCTGTTTCCATAAAGATGGATGGCCTGGGAAAGCCTAGGGAACGGTTCCACTCAATCCTGTCGTATCACTGTGAGTCAGAATCAATTGGATTGCCACAGACTTGGTTCCCCCCAGTTCAATGAAGATAACTTCCAGAATGTCAGTATACTGGACATTTTTTTCCAAACAT